CAGACTCCCACTGTCTGTCAGAGATTACAAAGACTGTGACACTGACTGTGTGTGCGCTACCTGTCTCTCTGACTGTCTGTCTGCCGTGACGCAACTACCGTCCCTCTGTAATGTGACATTTGTCGTTTATAGTACATAACAAATTCCTAGAAATTGTGCAAACGAGCACCGACGAGCATCTTTTAAAGACACTACCCTCGACTTACATGTCAGAAATGACAAACCCAATAAGCCAACATGGGATTGAAGGATTTATTTTTATTAAGGTATTGATTCAATGATTGATGCTGTGTGACAGCCAAAAACATGTTAAAAGATGAGCTTAGATTTTGTGTTTGTTCGCCTGTTATTCATCCAGATCCAAAAGGTTACGTTAAAGGGTCAGTTCACCCAAATTACAGAAAACATATTTTCACTTGCCTGGTACCTTTAGTCGTATCTAGCCATGCAGATATTTTTTAGATACGAAAACTTTTCACATTAAGGTGAACTGACCTTTAAAGTTATTGATTCACGTGTTTTATATAAACTGTGTGCGTAGCCAAACAATGACTTTGCACTGTGATGTTTTATTATGAGCATGACAGAATGAGTAAGTTGCACCAGTCCATTCATCCATCCATCAAGAAGCAGAGTCCCCGCAGACAGTAAGACAAGGAGAAGAGTTCCTCTAAAGTGTGTATCAGTGATTGATCTGTTTACCTCTTGAATCACTGAGGCAGAGCGCTGCAGTGCACTCTCACTCCCACAGAGGTGTCGGCAAATAGACAAACCTCTCTCTCTCTCTCTCTTACCTCAGTGTCCCCCACTTACAGTTGAGGTCCCAGGGAGGCACTCCCCACAGTTGCACGGCCACCCTGGCAAACCCACACGAGCCCGACGCCATCGCCGCTGCTGCCTGCGAGGATCTTTGTTCCTGCTCTGGGAGAGTCAGGGGCGGCAGAGAGAGAGAGAGAGAGAGAGAGAGAGAGAGAGAGAGAGAGAGAGAGAGAGGGTGCGTGAATGGTGTGGGCGGTGGCCCGTTCAGGGAGCTACAGGGGAACATAGCGGGGCTCTCTCGGCGTGCCATGGCCAGGCTCTGTGAAGTGTGAGAAACAGGCAGTCAGGCAGGCCTCTGCTGGCACGTTTGGGATTTGCAGCTATCAGCAGGAGAGATCTGCACTGCAGAGTCTGCAGGAGGAGGGAGGAGAGCGGGAGTGGGAACAGGGCTGGTCGGGAAGCAGTGAAGCATGCGTTGAGATGGAAGAAAAACTGGAAAACTGGCTGGTTAATGGCAAGATAAGTCTCAACACCAATCGGAGTGCTTCCACCCTACTGGGAGCAGGACGTATATTCAATACCCAGCCTATGAGGTGCTCAGTGTACTAAAACACTAGAGGCAGACAAATGACCACATAAGATACAAATTGATTTACTGTACCTTCAGTGGTAAAGACACTGATTCATCTACAGATTTTCACACAGGGAGAAAAGAGTTTAGTGGCTAAAATATAATCCCTTCTGTCAATAAGTATCAAAACACTTTCTCTACTCTTGAGATTACTTTTACCTGTGCATATGAAATTCCACGGTGTTACCATGCCTTAACTCAGCAGAGTGGTTGGGACGAATACATTTGAGGAGGCAACATGGAGAAGCCATACACAGCTGTCAGAGTGGATCCAAAGCCGATCCTACAAGGACGCCACACACTTCCTTCCTGTCTCCATTGATTTCACAGACGCCTGTTAGGTTCATTTAAGTACATTTGGACACAGAATGGGTTGGATGAAAGGAGATGCTTCCATCTATATTCTTAACTCTAAATTAAGCATCTTCGCTAATCTGCCACTAAACCTAATCTAAATCCATTTTAGCGTGCAAAAGAATGAGATTAATAATGAAATATTATATAAAAGAAATACACTAAATGAGACCAAAGATTGCACTGCAGGCTATTCACTGTACTGCAGTCGCTGTGGTGTGTACGGGGCTGACCTTGGCAGTTGACATTCGATTACAAACTGATAATGTTAAGAGCTTTCACTTAATCATTTAGCAGTTACAGAGGGAGACTCTTTCTGGGTGTTTCAGTCATGGTAATAATGGCTTCAAATGTCATTAGTGGAGCAGCCTTTCTATCTCTCTCAGCCACTTGACTGACCCAGCTCTCTCACACTGATGAGTTCAGCAGAGCTCCATATTGTTCATCACTGGCAGTCAAGGTTGATACGGCATCATTAGTCACCGTCAGGCTAAATGTGAAAGGAGCGCATTGTCTTTAAATTATCGAGTCATTGCTTCAGTGGGTAATAAATGAATATACGTTGATGTCTCAGCATTTACTCACAGCGGCTTTAATTAATAATTCATAATTCATTGTGTGTTTCGTTTTAATAAAGAGAGACTGGATTCTATCGATGCTGAGTGTTATGGTAACAGCTTCATTGAAGAGTGCGGGCTGTGTGACAGGAATATCACTGATGTAGTCATGACACTCAGCATGTTCACATGTGCCAGAGCTGGAAATGCTTTGCTGGACACCCAGCGCCTCTCTGGGGGCTGATTGGCTTGGCCCATCACTGCATTTGGAAGATTAAACTGTGCTGCAGTATGGAGCAGTGGCCAGGGCCACGGGATGTGGGATGGAGGCCCAGGAAGGACAAAAGCCGGGCAGCGTAAACAAGAGATGACCTTCAGAACGAGACAAAGAGGCTTGGGGCTCAGAATAGAGAAACTTAATTCTTACCCTTGTGCCCAAGACTTTGACAGACATCCACGTGTGTCTGTCTCTTTTTTTGGTCTTTGCTGATTCATCATTTCAATGCAATAACAGACAATGATCTTGAATCATCTTTCATTGCTGCCAATTGTGTCCCGGGGCTGTCAGATGTGTCAAGTGCTTTTGCAGTAGGGAGCATTGTTCAATACAGTATAATTACATTTTAATTGCGTCACATTTCCAGTTGCTGTAGAGAAACAAAATAAGAATCTCTTGTGCATTCAGTAGGGAGCCTGAGGAAGCCGGGGCATTAACATTAGAGGTGATAGTCATCAGGGAAGTTAATCTGTGATATGATGAGACCACCTGGCAAGGTCAGAAGCAGCTCTGCCAGGAAGAATGAGTCGCCCCATCGGGCTTGACAGATTCCCTCTTATAGAGGCCTTTTGTAAAAAAAAAATAGGCAGCAAGCCGCGTGTATTAGACAATAGGTGAGTTTTGGATTACAGAGAATGCATTAACATAAAGATAGACAGCGTCATCAGTGCTATATGGAAATAAACTGACACGGGAGAACTAAAATAATATGACTTCCGCGTCCTGTTGATGCTGTACAATAATAATTTCCTCAGTGTAACTCCAGCCTAAGTTAGATTTATTCTCGTCTCACTGAGGCCTTTTGAAGTGCGTTCTATATTCCAGTCAGCAGTGTACAGTGCAGATGAATCGGCAAAAGGCTCCCTGCGGCACATCATTACCTCTGGAAACACCATTAGGGAGATCTCACATTTTTAACTTGTTGGAAGGCAGAAGATGCATGGTGCGTATTACACAGCCGTTATGAAACAGAGCCGATACAGGGGCGATGCTGTCTGTTTTGTCCTCTCGCTTCCCTGATTGTAAAGTTGTGGTGTTGCAGTTTCATTCTCTGTGGTGAAATTATAGCTACAAGGTCCGTTTGGCTCTAAGATGGTCTGCAGTCTTATTTATAAGGACTTTGCTGGTGGTACTTTGTTATGGTTATGCTATTGTATGGTTAATACACAATGTCATTGAGAGATAAAGGAAGCCAGATAACCGGTCTGAATGACTATCTGCTGTATGACTAATGTAACTATTGCTCCCAGCAGAGTAAATGCCCATGTAGACGACCTGAACTACTGGAAGATCTTCTTAAATGATGTGTTTGAGCTTATTAACTTTAATACTCTCACAAAGGACTGTAAAGCGATAACTGTAGTAGTTTAGAGGAGACAATAGGTAAGTTTAATGACTTGAGGGAACAAAAGTGACCTTGGTAAGTGAATCAGGTTTGAAGCACAGAGTGGGTGTGAGTGGGACAGAAAACAGCTCGGCAACACTTTGCTTCAATTCACACATAATAGAAGAAGTATGGAGGCTGTCAGGTTTTGACATAAGCAATAGAAAGCTAAGTGTTGTAATATGTGCCTTTGTGCGCTTGGGCAAGCATACGCCCGCGCACGCACACACAGACACACACACACACACACACAGATATGTCATTGTAGCTCATGAGGTGGAGAAGAGGTCTTGGATTGGATAACAGATCTGTCCTCTTTTGTCCTCTGTTTGGCTGCTGCCTGTCACACTTGATCACCATATTTTTAACTCATGTCTGATTGATTACCTTCAAGTTCAATTAAACTGCAAATGGAGCTATATTTATCCAGAAAAAGACACAGGTACTCACACAGAAAAAAGTGTCCTCTGATTTACTGCAGAGGATATTCACAGAATATACAGTATGTCCATGTATAGAGCTAATCTATATTTTCTAAACCAGTGGTTCTCAAACTTTTTCACATCAAGGACCCCTAAACTGACACAAATTAGACCACTGACCCCCGTTTGATAAGATTTTGTCCCAGGGTCCCCCATCTGATGAGATTGTTGCTTTTAGATGTTTTATTAAGTCTTTGAAACCCATGAGCAAAAGAATCAGTAGTTAATAGTCACATTCTGTCATTGTGTTACTTATGGATGGGATTATAGTGAAAATAAATTATTCCCAGGAACCCCCTCAAGGACCCCTGGGGGTCCCCGCACCACTTCGAAAACCACTGTTCTAAACAACATCAGAACTTACAGAAATACAATAAGTACAAAGATAAATAAGATTTAGTTTTTAGTTAAAAAAAAGTGCTTGAATCAGAATTTTTTAATGTAATAACTCGTTTAAAATTGAGCAAAACTCCTTCAGCTACAGCAATATTGAAAAAGAAAATTCTGATCATAGAAGAAGTATCAGTGTTTACTTGCTGTATGTGTCCACCTACAGGAGAAGACCGCACCAGGGAGAATGTGGTGGGCACAACAGACGCACAGTCGGCTGGAGGTGCCGCAGGAGCAGAGTCCGGCTCCAGCAGACGGAGGCTCCACTGCTGCATCAGGGTAACAACTGTACAGGTGCGGAAGGCCCTGTGGGGGGTCGTCATGGTGATGTGCGTGTGCTCATCCTGGGCAGGCTCCACCCAGCTGGCCAAGCTGACCTTTAAGCAGTTCGACGCCCCCTTCACCCTCACCTGGTTCGCCACCACCTGGAACTGCCTCTTCTTTCCCCTCTATTACATCGGCCACCTGTGCAAGAGTCCAGAGAGGCAGACGCCCAGACAGAGATTCAGGTGAGAAGACTGTCACTGCTCAGCAAGCAAGCTTATTTATATAGCAGCAGAAGAAAAGAAAAGAAAAGGGGGGTGGATATGATAAACAGTGAAGACAATAGAGTATTTAAAACAACCTACAAAGTAAGTCGATTAAGCTCCTCTAAGACCTTGTGGGAGGCTGCTCCAGAGTCAAGAAGCAACAACAGCAAAAGCACAAACACCGTCTTTGACCTTGGAACAGCCAGACGTCCCTGCTCTGAAGACCAGAGGCTCCAGCCGGGGGTCACAGGTCACAACAACTCCTTTAAATACAAAGCTGCCTGACCATATAATATTGAATATTTTAATGTAACCATTTCAAAGTTCAAAATCATTTGTAAAACTGATAGGGAATCAGTAGAGAGAAGCTAACTCTGGAGTAATGTGCAATGTATGTTTTATTATAAATACGTATATTATTATTATTATTATTGATAACCAGCTGGAGTTATTTTCGTGGAAGATGAACAAGTTGAAGAAGGTGTTACAGTTGCTGAGGCATGATGTAATAAAAATATGGACTTTTTCCAAATCTCAAAGTTAGAGTTTGGTTTTCACAAGGTTCCTGTTTCATAAGGGGCTGAGAATTTTAGTTGAGATCAAAAGCAATAAAATGCAACTGGCACAGCTAAATCTCAGCGCCCTGAACACTGTTGTTTTGTAGAAATGGCTGGCAATGCGTCAATGTACCATTATTATGGGGAGGAGTACTACTTTACTTGTCTACTAAACAGTACCATCTGTCCACCCGAAAATACTATTCACACTATTTAGAATAAGCAATCAATGATGTCTAATATTTTATTGTTTAGGTTCTTTCATTGGTAAAATTGTTTCTCTGATTGCTTCTCCTTATTGTTATGGCTAACAGGCCAAACACACTCGCCACGATGTGCAGTCAAAATAAAGAGAAAAAAAATCAACAGCATCAGCTGTCGTACAGTTTCACATCATAGAAGAGAAAGTCATTATTTTCCCCAACAGCAGCAGCCTGAGCAGACCTGAATGTAATACAGATATAACCCACCGCTGGAATGCTCAGGCATTTTATTCTGTGGTCATTGCAGAAAAGCCATGAGAGGAATATATGAATGCAGATGTTGCATCAGCTGTAAGACGAACCTGAGGGGTCATCAGATGAGAAACAGGACAGAAACTAGAGACTATATTTCTTCTACAGAAAAAGGTTGTTTTTTTTCCCCACACTTTCCTTTAATCTTTGCCATTTGATAATGAAATTAAAAAATTACAAAAATAGATAAAAGAGAGAGAAATCGGTCTTTTGTTGATGTGGTCCAAACCAGTATGCAACTAGCAAAACTAGCCAAGAGAATAATCTATTAATAAATCAATTAAAGCCAGGTACAATTAAGAAGTCTGTTTAAAAACAAAGCAGCATTAAATACAAAGGATACATGGTGTTTAGCAGAGTATCAGCGTGTCCATGGGGGTATTTTCCTTAAAAAGCTAAAGTTACATATTATAACACATTTGTAAAATGGTGTGAAAAAGTCATACTAAGATGACTCTTTCTGTATGATGAAACACACATCTAATTTTTAATCTGTTTTCCCAACTGCTTATAATTAGATCAGCAGCATATTTGATTTCCAAATTAACTTAATAGCTTTACAAAAACAAAAACAAACAAACAAGGGTCTCATCTTTAGTTATCCTGCTGCAGCAAACAGAGAGAATGTGTTCCTGATTGTGTTAGAGGTGCTTTCACAGTTGAAACACGACATTAATCACGGTCTTTAGACAAAAGTCTTATCTCTGCTCCCTGCTAAGCTTTCTTTAGTACAAAGAGAAAAAGAAGGCGGTGGGATGGAAGGTGTCATGGGTGGGTGGGTGAACCAGGGGAATCGGCTATACATTTCTGACGCACCTCTCTGATGTCAGTCTTCCTTTTTGAGGGCTTACACAAGGATCTGGAGCTCCCACCGCTCGGCCGGAGCTGACGTGCTCCGAATATCAATCGCTTTGTTTACTTTGTGTTTATTCACATTGTGTCTCCCGGTGAATCTCAGACAATGCGAAGAAACAGAGACCAGGAGTTGACATTTGTAATATCTGTCCTGTCTCTTTGTATGAAACAGTCGCCGAAGTGGAGGAAAAGACCCGACACTGGCAATAGCTGGCTTCTGAATGAGGAGTCCATGCTTCTCTTTACTGTAGTCTGAGAAGATCTGAGGTTATTACGAAACATTGAATGAATATCAAAACACAGTTATCTGGGTGAAAGCAAGGAGGGTTTTTCTTTTTCACTTGACTGCAGCAATTTAGTTTGGGAAAATACCTTCATGAGTCGAGCTTTAAATTTCATTCTTGACTTTGGAAACAGCAGTTTGTCAAAATTGATAATGATAATAGCAATAACATAAGGTACTAGCTTTTTTTCCTCAGCTTTGAATTACATCATACTATACTCGGAGATTGTACACTTGAGTATCTTAACTGAGCAAACTCCATCCACCAAGGAAGATGTGGTCAAAAAATATAGTAAATAATAAGTTTTTTTTTTTTTGTTCTTTTTTTGTCAAACCTTCATGAGTATCATAGATTAATATATAGAATCCAAACACTATCACAAAAAGACCATCAAAATACAGTGCAATTGTGAAATATTGTCATCACTTCTATTGCTGGTTTTGATCTGCTCAGAAACCAAATAAAAAATGATGATTTCATGAGTTGCTCGCTGCATTAAAATCTGCCTCCATAACACCTTCCTCAGCTGAGTCTTAGAGCTGCAGGTTTTTCTAATATCAGATGGGATTACAGGTCTCACAGGTGCAACAGCGTAACAGAAACAAACCGCAAACCTCTTATTGGTTTGGATGCAAAGGTGCCGTATCCAGTGTCTGTAATGAAATGGTGATAAACTTTAATGTGATTGTCACTGAATTAAGTGTGAGAAGTGATTTTTAGTGCAGACTCAGCCCTCTGGAGCTGATTCATAACAACGCTGCTCCTCAGTTTCCGGAAAGACACTCAACACAAACGTGCTACCTGCTGTTTCCTCAGTTGTTGCTGTTTCATCACTTTCACAGCCACACACACCCCCCCAACCCCACCCCCCCACCCCCCGATGCTTTCAGGGTAAAACTGTGTAACTCAAGAGCACTGTAAACAGCAGCAGTCAAAATGCCAGCATCTCAAAAATTCAATAATGTTAGATTTTGACCCGGGGGGGGGGGGGGGGGGGGCCGTG